TAGTACTGTATGTAAAGATAGTTTGTTGAATTCTTTCAAAAAAAAAAAAAGATAATTTGTTGAATTGAGAGAAAATTTTCTTAATTGTTTGTATATCTTTCTTTTCTTAAAAACACATATGGAAAGATACAATACAATTTCAAATATAGCTTAGAGATATAGGTACATGGAGCTTTGCTTGTTTTAGTTATACCTCCTACTCAACTAAACTATTTGTCGACATTTGTTTGAGGTATTACTTACTCCGTAATTGGTTATACTCAAATCCTATTACCTATTTATATTCGCGACATCCTCGCTCTAATACAATATTACATTAGAATACTTTGATTATCAAAATATGTGATGCACGCATTTTGAAGTCATTATATAAAATTAGTTTATAGCTCATCAAATCCATTTATTTAAATATAATAAACTTTTAAAAAGTTTAATCCGTTTAGATCCACACCTGACATAAGCTTAGCTATTGATGTATAATGCATATAGGTTTAATAGGTTTTAACATGAATACATGATTTAGATTTCCAAGAACACATGACATCCTATCGAAATACATTGACGTTCCAATAAAATCATCATTCCACAATATTCCCAAATTATCTCCTCGACATATACAAGTACAAAAACACATAACCATGTACTCCGTGTATGTTTATAACCACTATGAACTAGGTAGGCTACTCTCGTTTCCAAAACACATATCCTTTAATTAATCAATCGCTTTATGAACTATGGTTGATCCAGCCGCAGTATTAGTGTAATTTGTGTGGATCGTAATCATTGTATAGTGATAGAATATGTGAATAATTGTCGTCCCTTTCTCATTGATTAAACATCAATATATAATACAAGAGTATACTAGGGTGAAGGGTACATAAGTAATATACAAACTAAATTATACACTAAATTATTTACATAATCTAACACACCCTCACAGTCGAAACGTGAGGATTGCGAACGTTGAGACTGTCCCGAAAATCATCAAATAAAACCTCAGGCAGACCTTTTGTGAAAATGTCAGCAATCTTGTATCGGGAAGGTACATGTAGATCAGAACACGAACTTCGCGCCGTTGAACTTTCTCACGAACGAAGTGTATGTCCATCTCAATATGTTTAGTGCGCTGATGTTGTACAGGATTACTAGAGAGGTAAATCGCACTAACATTGTCACAGTAAACCAATGTTGCTTTCGAAATAGGAAAACGTAGCTCGAGGAACAAATTTCGGACCCAGCAGGATTCAGAAACCACATTTGCAACCCCTTTGTGCTTTGCTTCGGCACTAGACTTAGACAAAGTGGGTTGGCGTTTTTGAGGACCAGGAGATCAGATTATCACCACGAAAGACACAGTATCCTGATGTAGAACGACGAGTGTCCGGACACCCGCCCCAATCGACATCCATGTATGACAGAATAGAATAAACATTGGATTTATATAAATGTTAACCAAAATCTGTCGTACCTTGGATATATCGTAGAATGACATTTCAACGCATCCATGTGCTCACCACGAGGTGAGTGCATAAATAAGCAAACCTGCTGGACTGCATAAGAGATATCTAGCCGAGTGAAAGTTAAGTACTGCAAGGCACCACAGAGGCGCCGGTAAGAAGTAGGATCATCATATAAAACACCCTCTTGAGTGCTCAATTTGCCTTTGGTGTCAACAGGAGTAGGCGAAGGCTTGCAATTGCCATTCCTGCTTTTTTCAATATTTCCAATGCATACTTCATTTGAGACAAAAATAGACCATCTTTATCTCTAGTAACAGCAATACCTAAAAAATAGCTCAATTCACCCAAATCTTTCATCGCAAATTTAGAGCTAAGCTGTGAAATAAAATGTCTTCGGAGAGACTCCGATGAAGCTGTAAGCACAATGTCATCAACATAGAGAAGAATGTAAGCAGTGTCATTACCATGGCGATAAACGAACAATGAGGTATCAGATTTGCTATTAACAAAGCCAATAGTAGCCACAAAATCTGAAAACCGTTGGTACCAAGCTCTAGGTGCCTGTTTCAGACCATATAGTGACTTCATTCCGTAACAAACAGACATGATCAGGTCTAATGGGATCCTTAAATCCCAAAGGTTGATACATGTAAACAATTTCATTCAAATTACCATGTAAGAAAGCATTCTTAACATCTAATTGATGAATTTGCTAAGACTTGGATAAAGCAATGTCAAGAACTACCCGAATAGTAGCCGGTTTAACAACCGGACTAAAAGTTTCATCACAGTCAATCCTCCCTTCCCTCTGAGTTTTTCCATCACCAACAAGACGAGCCTTGTGTATCTCAAAAGAACCATCAAAATTTGTCTTATGCCAAAAAATCCGCAACGAACAAATAATGTTCATATTAGATTGCCGCGGAACTAATTCCCAAGTATTATTATCAATAAGAGCATCATACTCTTCCTGCATTGCAATCTTCCAATTATGGTCACGTAAAGCATGAACCGGGTTCTTTGGAATAGGGGAAATGGAGGTAGAAGTGTGGTGAGTTCGTCTTGGTATTTAGGATTCGGCTTGACAATGCCATGCTTGCTACGAGTAGCCATGGAGTGAGATGGCATTGTCGATGGTGTAGGAAAAAATATAAGAGGAGAAGGGGGAGATGTGTGTTGCGAGGAAGTAGGAGGAGAGATAGGCTGATGCGGGGAGGTAGGAGGAGAGGTGAGCTGATGCTCGTCCATGCCCGCACCAGCGTGCGTTGGTATTCCAGCGGGCTGGGCAGTAGCACCAGCTATTTGGACACCTTACAAGCTAGTGCCCGCTGGTAACCCGACGGGGGTAGCAATTGGCGGCACCAAGCCTTGCTGCTGGACACTGGGTGAGGCATCACGCACAAGTTGATGCGTGGTGCTGAGCAAAGAAGAAGAGGTGCGAAGCTGGGTTTGCGAGGAGTGCAGGCCACTCCGCAATGAGGTTACGGTTTGAGAGGGATTGCCGCAGCCATGTTGCGGAGTAGGTTGGTTGGCTGCAGTAGGGGGGTGATGATTGTCCAAAACATGGTGACGCAAGACAAGATTGGTTAGAAGACTCGGACTATCATCTAGAAAATCATAAGTGTGAGGACTAGGGGTATGGACTTTAGAAAAAGGGAACACCGATTCATCAAACCATATGTGTTTAACAATGATTATTTTCCGACTCAAAATATCAAAACATTTGTAACCTCTATGATTACTAGGATACCGAATAAAGACACAAGGGGTCGAATGAGCTTGGAGCTTGTGAACCTTAGATGGAGAAAAGAGAGGGTAACACAAGCATCCGAAAACTCTAAGATGGGAATAATCAGGATGTTTTTGATATAGGATTTGAGTTGGAGATTTGTAACCAAGAAGATTCGTAGGTAGAATGTTGTGAAGATAGGTGGGTGGCCATTTCTAAAGCATGATGCCAAAAAGAAGGAGGCATAAAAGCATGACAAAGAATCGTACGAACAATGTTATTGATCATTTTGATGTTCCTTTTGGCTTTGCCATTTTGAGGAGAAGTGTATGGACATGAAAACCGAAAAGTCATACCATTTTTGTGACAAAAAATTTTAAAAGGATCATTGTCACATTGAAATGCTTTAACTTCTTTCTTAAATTGAGTCTTAGTATATGTTCGAACACAAATAAATAAATCATAGATCTGATTTTTAGAAGAGATAGGGAAAGTCCATAGAAAATTCGTGTAAATGTCAAGAAAAAGAACATAATATTTGTGACCAAGAGAGCTAAGAATCGGAGAAGTCCATAAATCACTATGAATAATATCAAAAGGCGTAGAAGTATGTGACATAGAATCATAAAAAGGCGTTTTTATTAGTTTACCCAAATGACAAGAGTGACAAACATTTTTGTGAGCCTTATTACAACTTATGAGATTGCTACTACTTAAAGAACTAAGAATTGCATTTCCCGGATGACCTAAACATGAATGCCACACACTAGGAGAGGTAATTGCAAAAGCTGATGGAGTGGAAGACGAGATGAGTTGACGATCTGTGAAGAAAGGATAAAGATCACCACTGCTATTACATCGCACTATTATGCTCCCCGTCTACAAATCCTTCACAGAAAACCCAAACAGATCAAACTCAATAGAGAAATTATTATCGATAGATAATTTTCTAACAGAATTAAGGTTTTTAACTAGTTTGGGTACATGAAGAACGTTTTTGAGTTGAAGTGTGTTTTGGTTCAAGCTTTTGTGACCATAACCTGTTATCGGGACCTTACAACCATCACCAACAATAATTGTATTTTTATTAGTTTTGGGTAAATAAAAATACGACGACAAGTTACCTTGGGAATTTGTCATGTGCGATGTTGCCCCAGTATCCATGTAATAGTTCGGGTCGGCCAGTGACATGGTGTGCTGGGTGCATTGCCTTGTCAATGTTTGTTAGAACATAACCCGAAGAAGGAGGAGCAGTCATGTAGTATGCTTGCGGTGGTCGAGGCCCGAGAACACCATTCTGATTAGCGAACTGAGGAGTGCGAGGAGTCCACTGAGCTGGGCCTTGGCCTTGAGAAGGGTAAGGGCAAGGCGGTGTGGGATAGGGAGCTTGACCCCAATAGGCCCAAAGGGGAAACATCCACCCTTGTTGCTGCTGGGTCGTGTTCTGTTGCGGAGAGGGAGAAGAGTTCCCACGCTGCTGCTACTGCTAGGATGGTTGCTGCGAGTTTCGGCCACCATTGCCGGCGCCGCGACCTTTCCCACCTTTGTTCTTGGTGGATTTCTGGCCACCTCGAGCCGAAGAAACACCCCCACGACTAGAAGGCTGTGAGGAACCACCTTGAGGCTGTTGTGTTGAAGCCGATTACACAACATGGGCTTCTTCACTCGAATCCAGAACATGGTCAGAAATATTGCCGGCCTTGCTCTTCAAGTTCCAGCATGGAACGGAGAGTATCAAAAGAAGGCAATAGATTGAGGTGTCAAACCGATGTAAGAAAGGGCTTATACTCCTCCGAGAGACCTTTCAAAAATTAGAGTGCCATTCGATTATTAGAGACTTTATCTCCTACATTTTTCAAGCCATCTGCGAGAGTCTTGAGGCGAGTGCAATATGTCTTGATGCCATCAAATTGCTCCAGCCGAGTATTTGTGAATTGAGCGTCAAGTTGCAAAGCCCTAACAGACTTGTTGTTAAGGAAGAAATTTTCCAACCGTTTCCACGCATCGACCGCTTTGTGATCCAGGTCGATTATTGTATTTAAAAGGTCAGTAGAAATTGTCCCATAAATCCATTGTCGAACAATGTCATCAAGGCGTTGCGTGAAGGCTTGTTCGGCAGGTGTGGGTTCGGTCTTCTTGGCCGAAGGATCCACCGGTGGTGGAATTATTTGATCGATAACCAAATTCGCACGGCAATGAAGTTGGAATAAGGTCGACCAACTATTGAATTGCTTGCCCTCATAATCAAGAGTAATGGGGACACAAGACTTGATGTTCATCACAATAGTGGCGGGATGGAGCTTGCTTGATTCGGGCATGGAGGATGAAGAAGAGAAGAGAGTAGAGCGGAAGAAGAGAATTAGGGTTTTCCAGGAAAGAAACCTAGACTCGTGATACCATGATAGTGGACTATCTCAACCAAAATTTTAAGCTGACGGTTAAGGCCCAAGAATATGTTTTATACTCCATCACGCCCCCTCACATGAGAGCCCATTGGGCTTGAAGTGCGGATGTATCATGGGCCCACCATACCCAACGTTTAATATTCCAAATTGAAAGGAGGGGTAGATGAGATTCGAACTCATGACCTTTGTGTCACGCTGGTTCTTGATACCATGTTAGTGACCAGCTTTTGGTTGAGTTGATCCACTAACATGGTATCAGAGCATGATAAAATATGTGAATATTTGGCGTCCCTTTCTCATTGATTAAACATCAATATATAATACAAGAGTATACTAGGGTGAAGGGCACATAAGTAATATACAAACTAAATTATACACTATCATTTACATAATCTAACATATAGATAATTTACTCGTAATAGTTTGGTGTCGGATAGGCACAACAAAACGAGTAAGCAACAGCGCATGTATAATAAATTGGGTCCGAAATGCTAACCCAAATCCGGTTGGAGATGAAAGCGGGCAGGAAACTCGACTAACCTGCTTTTCCCCGACAACTCCAGCTTACTCGGACTGCTACTAGAGCCTTCACACCACTATTATTCTCATTTTCCAAACTTTTTCTATTCTATCTTCCATATTTTTTTTTTAATTTCTAATTCTTCCTCTAATTTTGATTAAGTGTATTTTTTAAACCAAGGAAAAATAAGGAGGGCGTTAAGATTTTTTGTAAAGACGTTTTGCATTTGAATTATGCACATTAAGTAATACTCTTTGTATAGAGCACAAAATGTTTAGCTTGGTGTAAATATGACATTAAACTATGCTTGCTCATTGGCCGAGCAAAACTCTTGAGTTCCTGACTTGACACGACACAATGGCATTATGCAATTGTAATACCCCCGCATACCATATTTTGTATTATTCTTCTCTCGTGTCTAGGCTTAATTATCATAATAATTCGTTGTGTTGACTATGCACTACGATCCACAACCCAGGCCAATACACATAGTGAGTGTCAAGTGTTGGATCACGTGTCTAGCGCTTTTCCGGTGTCATGCCTTTTTAGGCGGGCCTGACTCGGTCCATCTTTTCCTAGGTGTATACAAGCAACAAAGTATTTTTACATCACATGTAAGAGTATCTACAAAAGAACCATTCATCATGATAAAGGACACAAGAAGTACTACTTGATGTCTTAGCTTCTAATATACTCCCTCTGTCTCATAATATAATTCTTGTTTTTTTTATTTTGGATATTCAAAATGTTGTTCCTATTTCTATTTTTGAATAGTATATAAAGACCATTATACCCTCATTTTTTTTACTTCATTCATTGTACTTCCTACATTACCCTTGAATTTTACACATACTTGTACTTTTTTCCACTTCCTCTCTCTAACTTTTGTCTATAATTGTCTTTTTCACTTTTATTAATGTACTTTATCTATTTTCTCCTCCTATTTCTTAAATACCGTGACAAAACACAAACAAGAACTATATTATGGAACTGGAGGAAGTACTTGGAATTTGTCTTAGTATATTCCCATCTTTCATACTAGGAGCTCCCTAGCTAACTTTGTAGTACTTGCATAATTAAGTGTTGTACGAATTAGCTTAATATGAACTAATCTTAGCCTTTTCAACAAGAAAGAGATCGAGATTTATTAGTAAGAAAAAGGCTAATATAAGAACTAAGTATAGTATTCCAAATTAGGATAGTAATTAATTAGTTAAAATCCACTTTAATTAGTTGGATGATCCTTTGTGTGCGCATGTGCATGTTAAAAAGAGAGTAAGAATTTTTTTGTGTATGTTTTGGTGGGCTACTCTTAATATGCATAACAATGATTGCACTCGTGGCTATTCCACCTTTATTAGAGAGAAAAAGAAAAAAGATAGGATCCCTTGTATGTTTAATTTAGGTACAAGAATATTTAATTATTTTTTAATTAAAAAGTAAGATTTGATTTTTCATGTTGATTGATTGATTTAATTAAGCAAAGGATTAGAACAAATCAAAAAAGTGGACCAATATGTATAATTGAGAATTATTTTATTGTACTATTACTTTAAAAAATTATTATGTAATATAGTTTTCATGCTTCTTCTATTCTTTTCCCCCCTTCCTTCAATTCGTCCCTTCAAATTCACGTTATATATAATGATAACAACTTTCCATAAATTCATTTAAAAATATATTTAATGTAAATATATTGTTTAGTATGTACTTTAGACTAAATAATCGTCTTTATTTGGTTTGAGGAATAATACGAAGAGACCTCTTTGCTTCCTTTTCTAGTTATTCTTGTTTCATAGCTAATTTTATTAGCATGCTAGATATTTTAACAAAATTATATATACCCCTTGAATTTCAATTCCCTATCTATATCCTTTTTAGGTTTGGTGATCTGATTACAATACTAATAATCATACGTCATTTTTGTGTATAGGTTGCATCGGGGAGAATTCTGTGAACTAAATATATGGATCGGATATATATCAAATTATCAAAATTAACGAAGATTTAGGTTTTCAAATTTAATTGGGTGTTAGAAATTGGTAGATCCGCTCTTGCCTCTTATATCCATAACTTGTAGGTAGCTTTGATTGCCTATGAATGATGATTTATAACTGTTTTTAGGACCTAGTAACATACACAAATTTGGGTCAAAGAAAGTTACTTGACGTAGCACTAACATCAACAAAATTAATCATGATTAGACTTTAATTAGCACAAAAAAAGTTGGCATTCTTTGAAGATTAATAAATCTCTACTATTGCATTTCTAAAGATTGAATAGCTAGTGAAGCTAGAGGTAGTTCTAGGCTACTATATACTCTAGGGCACCAACTAAATCATAGCTAGCTTGGTACCCTTGTTTAAAGCATAATGCATGCTAGGTCATTCACAAATAGTCTAGTACAAGCATGAAGTATTTATATGATCGTTGTTGACATGTGTCCTTATTGTTTTAGAGGCTTTAATTTGCACCATATTATAAATTACGATTAACTAGGTAGTAAAAGTAAGATAATTTAAGCATGTAATTAAATTTTGAGATTCCCTTGAGATCGTGATTCGTGAGGTGACTTGAAAAATGACTAGATTCCATTCAAATCGTGGAAATTTAATGGCCACTATGGAAGCAAACCCACTAAGCTAAGCTAACGAAAGTAGTCTTTCAAGGTTTTTTTGCAAATTCAAAAGTTCTTGATTATCAATTCGAAATTGGTTACCAACTTGCCATTGATGGTCTAATTCAAACAAGATATATATCATCGTCAAATTTAGGCAAAAGTATGATTTTGTAGTAGTTTTAAATCTTGTAACCATACTTCAAAGCTGTAAATGTGAAAATGTTTGATGGTGAACTACTTCATCTGTACATCCAAACCACGAAATATGTAATTCCTTTATTTCATTTTTGTGTATTAGACTAATTACAAATATAAAAATTAAAAATTAAAAATTAAAAATCGAGTTCTCGCTCTAGCATATTGACTTATATTATTTTTCAACAGAATTTCCTTATTAATTAATCACGTGATTGAGTGTTCCTTAAAGAAGTAAAAGGCACCTCACTCATCATCTATTAAAGCTCTTGCATACACACATGTACATAATCTTAAAATCACCCATAAAATTCAAAAGTAGAAATACTTAACAAAAAAAAAAAAGCGAACTTTTTATTAAACTAGATAAGTAGCACGTAAAAAGTAAGTATAACTCGAAAATCACCTAGCTTGATTCATACTAATCAACTCGTAAGTTAATTCGTTAATCGATCCATTATTATTATGCAAATTAATGCCCTTCAATTATATCCTATATATGATGCGACGTAACTAAATGCAAGGTACTCGTGCATTAAGCTACCTCGCAACCTAAGCTACGATATTATATTAATGGCTGCCAATTAAGTATGCGTAATAAGGTGCAAATAAAAGTTCCCTAATTTAATTTGATTGGTTTAATTAAGGGTCTAATTTAAATTTGTTACCCACTTGATGTTATACCACACCCACCTAAATAATTAAAGACTTAATGTCCATGTCTTTCATCATTTCTTCCTTAGAATAATGCATGTTCATCATCTTATCAATTATAAGTTTATAACTAGATTAATCCTTTTTTAGTTGGAGAATTGAATCTTGGAAGGTGGATTGATTACTCAACCTCTTGTTAATAGTTCTTAGATTTATTGAAATGATTACTAGTTTGTGATCCTTTTTGATTAATTACTGTGTAAATCTATAAGATGATTGGACCTTTTGTGGTAGTAGGGACTGGGGGCAATATGTGAAATTTGATAATAAGTAACCTCCTTCTCTTATATTTTGCCCCATTACAATTAAATATATGGGTCAAACTTTTAAAACTTTAACCATGAATTATTGTTAATCTATATATGATAATATATTCATGTGAAATCTTGTTAGAATCGTCTCATTATATATTTTTTTAATATCAGATTTCATATTTTTTTACGCGTATATAAATGGAGATATATTCACTTGAAGACGCATCTTGAAAACCGTGAAAAATCAAATGAAGTATTTCCTTGATTATTTGTTGCCAAGTAACAAAAAAGAATTTGCGCTACAACACAATCAATCACTAGAGAGCTCCTCACTTCGTTGAAGCCCAAACTATTAATGGTAAAAGAGGTGAAAGTAATCGATCTGACATTTATAGTGGATTTTTAATCCGACAACCTTAACCTCGAAATAATCAGTGAAACAAAGCTAACCCTAAATTTAACACTCCTTATTTTAAGACAAAATAAGCATGACATTTCATGTAATAAACCCTCAAGTTAATTTTATTTTCCTCTAAATGAACAATCAATGTCGTTGTTATTCACATGTCAAAAGAGATTTCGAAAAGAAAAAAGTAGCTCCCAAAGAGTCCAAAGGTTCACCCACCCGATCCACATGAGCCCAAAAAGTAGAGCTTAATTAAGAGGTTATTAATGTAAAAAAACTCAAAAGGGTCACCCACCCACCCGATTTCACTTTCTTAAGATTGGCCCATATTCTCGTGTGGCACGTGAACCACTAATCCTTTTGTTATAACTCACACGTGGAGATGCTCTTGGAGTTGAGCCTTTAAGAGATTTTGACTCATAAACTTGTTCATGTATGTATCTCCTACCAATATTAAGATCATCCCACAACATCACCTTATTAATTATACACTTATGTCATGAATATGACTTTACATCTTTTGTTGGATTAAGATTGATTTTTGTTTTTTCACTTTTTCCTTCTAATAAATTGACTAAATCATCACATTTGACTTTACAGTATCTTGATTTCGATAATTGTAACCATTGAAACAACACAAATACCTCAACAAATGCATCTCCACCTCATGCATTTAAAGCATACTCCGTATTTGTTATTGTTATAAGAATCAACTTGGAAATAGTTTTACAACTCTCATCTAGAAATAATATTGTTTAAGTACCACTCTCAAAATTTGTCACATTCATGTATAAAACAAGAACCCTAAAATTTGTGCAACAATATATTACCTATGGCTATCAATTCTTAGACCCAATAATAGGTAATTAAATTTTTTTTATTTTGATATTCTTGGGACTCCTTAAGAAAATACTATTCAAAGGAGTATTCAATATCCAACATAACGACAACAGTGTTCGCATAAGAAACGGACCACACACAATTAAGCAAATGTTAAGGTGGCAACACTATTCCTTGCCTGTAATTGTTTGCAACACTTTGATTTGTTCCTCTCATTGTCTCTAACCTCTTCATATTATTAATATTAATACATTGCTTCAAAAATGATAATTTATTGCTCCATATTTAGGAAAATAACAACTCATAATACTATGGTCCATATTGTGAAGGTATACCATACTAATCAGCATCTTTGTATTATAAATGAATAAAGGTCTTAGGATTTGTACAACGTACATTCAATTCGCAAACGCATACCCCTTGGTACAAGAAAATTGAAGACAAAAATGACCCTATTCGTTAACAAAAGATAAACCTTCACATTGATCTCCAAATCAATAAGAACTTGTAATTCTGAACTAATAACACTGGTTCAAAAAATACGAACCCTGCACACATTTAAGGGTTTTACATGTACCCACTCGATTAACTATAAATGCGCGCAAGCACGGGTTTATCTGTTCAATAGGGGTGAATTGTGAATACAACAATCTCGACAAGAGTGGTACGAAACATACGACGGAGTACTCCATAGTCTATGGTCCATACGGGTAAATGTGAATATGAGAATAAAGGAATAAAGAGAGTTAAAGCGAAGTATACCCTAGTGAAATTGAGGGAACATATAATTTTGGATCAAAAAGCAAAAAAAAAAGGAAGCAAAGTTTAAGAGACAAAAACTGTTCCTCGGGATCAACAAAGAACTGCCGCATCTTTTGCCGGTTATTTACCTCTTTACATCTTTCACGGTTTCCCTATGATAAAGCCGAAACAACCCAGCTTTATTCCCCATCAACATTAAAAGACTGCTACTACAAATTAAAGGACCAGATAAACTGCTTTTTACTCTCTTAACTATTCACCTTCATAATACACCTGAAAAGATTTCTCTCGTCATTCAAACCAATCTACTTATACAGGTTACAAAAGATATCTTCAAGAGGACAGAGCAAAGTTCTGTTAGAGCAATATAATAACAAGCGAGAAAATGAAATCGTTAATATGAACTTGTACGATAACCTAATGTTCACGCTAAGGATCTGAAAGAACAACATCAATTGTATGATGTTCAAAAAGGGCTATGTTAGATTATATTACGTTCACGAGAACCAACAGCATTAGAGAGAGGAGAGGACGAGACAGCTGAACACCACATTCTATTTAATAAAATTGATAAGAGTTGGGGGTCATAATAACAAGAAAATTTGGAACCTGTACCTAATTATCCATCCCTGACATTAACAAGCATGGAATGGATTAGCTTCTTAGAAATTTGTCGTCCAGTTGTGATGACTGATTTGAGGCTGCTGATAACCCCCAACCTGTGCACCAGGAGCTGTTGGAGCAACTCCAACTCCAATATTGCCACCGCCCAGATGATGGGCATTGGGCATTGCAGTCGGCTGAGGAGGATACATCCCGGGAAATTGCATTTGAGAAGATTGCGCTACACCTGCTCCATTGAAAGAAGCATGACCTGTGTGGGACTGTAAGTAAGCAGCAGGATGAGTTGCCTGCCCCTGCATGTTATAATATGGAGTAGATTGCATCCCAGGATGATCCCTGTGATTCTGAATCCAAACTTCAGAAGTTTCAGCCTGAAATGATAAAATAATGAAAGATAAGGGCAGAAAGTAAGGTACCAGATGTTTTTTTTGGTAGCCATCTTGTCTGAAGACTCTGAACATAAAATGGTCACAATTTTTGTCCAAGTAATAGTGAAAAAAGCACACTTAAATGCATCAGAAAGATAATCCACAAATACCATACAAGGTAATGTACAACTGTAGAAGACCCACACCGAGAGCAATATGTACTTGTGAAGAAGAAATATTAAAAGTTCATACTTCATGTTAAGAGGATACAAATCACGATACCTGTGGATTTGGCACGTAAAGGTTGTTATCTTTATATTTCATGCGCGATGAATCATCAAGACCTGTAGGTCCACCAACAACTCCTGGAGCATTCATGGCATATCCAGAGGGGTTAGCCAGATTGCCAAAGCCTGTAGGACTGACTGCAGGAAAAGGTTTGAATTGTTGAACCCCATACTTAAGGCTGTTTGCAGGAATATGGGAACTGCCACCGGGCATCAAGACATAACTGCTTCCATTTGAAAGGTGGGGATAGCCAGGGTTGCCAGAAAACCCAGGGACCATTGGTGGAACATAGAGTGGAGGAAGATACTGCCGATATGGCATGACATTAGCATAATGCGAAAGATGAACTTGCGGATACATCTGAGCCATAGGTGCCTGCTGCTGCATCATTCCTACAGAAGATGACGGAACACTGTTGGCAGTGTGTGATGGTAAAGCCTGTTGATACAAGCAGATAGATTTAGATACTGACTGAACAAAATCGAACTCAAAGATCCCAATTTCAAGCAGATTATCTAATAAACATGATACGTTCTCAGCAGTCAGCACAACATCAAAAAGAGCTGCGAAGATATAGCAAAGAGAAAGCATTTCCTTTTACTGATGATTTAAAGTATTCAATTTCTTCAATATGGCCCTGTTATGGTATTTGATAACTCATTCAATCATGAGGAAGCATAATGCTTTCTCATCTTTGCAGAGAAGAACAAGAATCCAACTCCTCACCCTAAGAGCCCCACCCCAGAGCTGTCAGCCCCCCCAACCCAAAAACTAACCCATACAGTGTTTCAAAAAAACATTATCAACCATATGCCAAATATGTCCATGACAATCATATTACACAAATGACATTTGTATCACTACTTTTATTTGTAAATGAATTGCAAACAAAAACTACCTCCTGAGGAGAGGGTAGACCAGATCCACGTACAGCATCATCAATAGAAGGTCTAAAATATGACATATCGTAAACAGGTTGCTGATCATATGCCTGCAGACAAACACAAAGCACACTGAGTAAAGCCATTAATTTCAAACACATCTTTCCATATGAAACACAAAGCTTGTAAGTCTAACCATGAACATCAAATTTATTCAGATGACCATCAAACTTATTCAGATGACTATCAATCATACTCAGGTCCTTACATAAGCAGTTTATTAGAAAATTGAAGGACTATTCTACATGGTTAATCCATCTAGTACAGCCTCTCACATTGTACTGATTCCACATATTGCATCCACTCAAGTTGACTTTTGCCAAAGCAACATTAAGCTTTAAAAGAGCTCTAGTCAAACCCATAACCTGTGTTTCGTGGACTTGTCTAGCCTAAGTAGATGAGTTATCTAAACTTAAGCCGAAGTGCCCAGCTCAAAACCCAAATAGATCACTTTAACAGACCTTCAAACATTACCCTACAGATGAAAATATAATAAAGAGAGTGAAGGGAAACAAGTAGCCTTGATTCAGAACAAGGAAACCCATTAATTTACTACACCAGAGAAGATAACACAAGCTCCGACTGTCACAAAAAAAAAAAAAAAAATGACAGCTGCTGAGAAAGAGCCACAAATTCTTCGTCCTTAATATGGCAAATTTCATGACCAACTGATCGATCTAAGGATTTTTCCTAAAGCCCCAGCTCTAAGAAGTATCAATTTTACAGTCATTTAGATGTCAGTGTGCATTGTTTAGAGACAATTTTGAGGTATACAACATAAACTCTGTCAATGACCTAAGACATGATGACAGATAGCAGAAGTAATCTCTAGAATGAGAATTAAAATTCATTCAATTCATCCTTGCAAACTGGTCAGAGGTCTATGTTTATCTCTGATATTATGGACAAAATAAAAAGCATTCATTCCCTGCCTCGCTATAAAACTGAAATGTAGAATTATATAAATATTCCACCAGCAAGGCTACTAAAAAGTAGCATTTGTCCAAAAGCATGTGAACAGGATTGTCTTGTCAAAGGAAATCAAATAAGAAAAATCAAGGTAACAGCCACTTAATTATAATAAAATAAAATAAACTTACGGAAAAATTAGGCAATTCTGTAGAATCCTGGTGCTGGTGGGACCTTGAAGCTGTCAAAGATGAGCTGTTGTGAACCAAACCCATATCACTATAATCTTCTGCATTGGAAATACCAGAGGCATCCTTTTTGTCAGGCGACTGGTTTTCAGATGATGCCCTCGATGGACTACTAGAACCAGAATTTCGAATTTGACCATCAGCAGAACTTATCTGCTGGTTGCTGCAATGCAGAGAAGAAAAGACATGCTACTAAGTTCATATATCACAGGTAAAGTAGTAATGTGCAATAACACTAAAACAATTGACTTTTACAGGTCATGAGAAGCAGGATTTACTGCCAAAATAATAGTTTGGGGAGCTCAATACAAGACTTGCCTCAGATTCAGGGTCTAATTTTGAGTGTCAAAGCATAAAAAAAATTCCACTAATACATCTTAGTAAAAATAATAAGCCAAATAATTCAACCAACCTAGAAGATGCCTCAGGTGTCTCCTCAACTCCATCAACTGCTTGAGTTGTGGAAACAGAGTTCTCTGCAATATCTGATTCCAGACCAAAAGTTCCAAAAGTCAGCCTACATCGGTCATTCTCGGGAACCCGAATGTGTTGAGCGATTATGACATTTTGACTCTCCTGAATGTTTACTTGAGAGAGCTTATCTTGCAACAGCTCCACTTTGTTCTCAACATTCTTGGAATTATCAGCCAGATGCAAGACAGATTTCACAGGTGATCCAATCACACCCGGACTTGACACACTAGACTTCTGGGTTGACTTGGGCTTCCATTCTTTACCAGGCAAAGCACCTAAAGAACAATTCAATATCAAAATTCAAAACAACGTATATTCAACTCAATTGAAAACACAGGCCTGTATCTAATAACTTGAAAAGGAAATAATACTCTGCAAAAATTAGATAGACTGAAATAATCTAGTGGGACTAGAACATTATACACCACAACATAAATATATATACATCTGAATTTTTGGGGCTACTTCTCCACAAACCTTTGAGTTGTCTCACCAATTGGCAGTCCTTACCAACTTCCTGTACTAGATTCAGGTACAAGAATCCTTTAGTTGAAAGTCAAGTTTGAGTGTTCTAATAATTAGGCAAGTATTGCTTCAGCATAGTAGTGACAGGATAATCCTGTGTCCTTCAATTCACAATAGTCTTTCAGCTTACCTAGCATCCTCTGTCATTTGTCAGTTTGTGACTTTGTGACAAATAAGGGGCAGTTAAGGCTTGATTTCAGTACTTAAGTCACTGAATCAAGATTAGGTTTCATTCAAAAAGAACAAATGATAGAAAGTTCAATTTCCACAGATAAGTGATCTAATTTTCCAAAATCCTGATTCATTAGATTTGGATGTTGTAATTAATAAAAGCATTACTGCGTTATCCTACTACTCAAAAAAAAAAGCATCCTTTTATAATGAAAAGCGCTAGTACTCATTTTCATACTCAGTTACAAGTATCAACATATATCTTCTATTCTATTAGTCGCCAATATCACAATATCCAAAACTCCAATGAAAAGTTAAAGATTTGAGCATGCACAACATTAATTCCCAGCATCTGGCAGTGACATGGCAAAGCGGAATCGACTATTTTAGCTTCATAGCAAGAATGCCATATCAAAAATAAATATTAAGCTCTTTATTTTAAAAAAAAAGAAATATTAAGCTAAAGAACTCTGTGAGAAACTAGGAATAGATTATTTTAAAAGGCAGAACTGCTGAACAAATTCCAAATTTAACGCCAAACGGAGTACTTCTGCCAGCTCTCTGCTTGTGAGTTCAAAGACAAGACATGCAGCTAGGTTTCACCAGAATAGGCTCCATAAGTTTTTCAATGTTCAATGGGTTTACTTACTATCCCTCTGTTTTTGAATGCCCTAACAATTGCAGCAGTATCAGGTCAACTAGATCATTTTGGGAGGTATAATGAAAGAAAGCTTCTTTAAGAATTAGTTCTTTTGGTGATTATTTAAAATTATGGTTTTGCAATGAATGATAAAAGTATATGAAAAAGCAACTGGTTATAAGAAAGATGAGATTAAATTTTATCTGTTAGCTAGATAAGACTTAAGATATCATGCCACAACATTGGAATTTCAAGGCTAAGCACAAAGTGGAATACATACCTTTCTGATGAGAAACAGATTGTTGATGCAATCTATTACTGAAGTGAGTGTTTGACCTGCTTCCAGTGGAGCTAACAACTGCAGATTCCACAGCAGTAGCATGAGTTTGGTCATGTCCAGAAACAGCATTGATCGGCTGGAATGGTTCGGCTGTGGATGAACTTCCCACAACTGAATTAGTATTAGAGATACTTTGCTGAGAAGACAACTTCGAGCTATTATCTGAAGATTGTCGACGACTGCCAACAACTCCAACTTCACGCCTAATAGCACCAATAGCCGCAGAAGATCTAGAATCGGGCGATGGAACATGCACAGGATCTGAAGCAGAAGCATAAACACCTACAGTATTGGAAGATACAGTACTACCAGCTTGGGAGTGCGAATCGTTTGGCCTCGTCACTGTAACTTGTGACTCAGAATTTTTTACAGCTGATTTCTTCTCAAAAGGCCCAATTCGAGACTCCGAATTTAAGTCTCGGGCTATTTTAGGCCGAAAATCACGCACCCTGTTGGAAGTTTGAAAAGAGCGCCCACTTGAGTGTCTTTGATAGTTAGGCACTGCGGATGAACTGCCATATCATGAAAAGTGATGCAGCTCAGAAAACAGAAAAGCAAAGAAGACGGAACAAAGAGAGGAACATCCTAAGAATATTTACATAAGCTGGCATTCAACAATCATCTTGTGAATATAATTGAATACTACTTCCTCCGTTTCTCAATTGATGCATCCTTTGTATATGGCACACAAACCGATAAAAGGTAGAGAGTGGAGTGATTCACATAAATGCCCATGTGCTAACCATTAAGGGCTTAAGTACTAAAGGTAGAGTTTCGACCCCACCTAAAGTTGAGGGTAAGCACATAAAATTTTCACTAAGGAGATAGATGCATCTATTGTGAAACATCCCATAAAGGAATAAGCTGCGTCAATTCAGAGACAGAGGTAGTATAAAAAATTAATACTGCACATCATCTAACATGTTTCATGACTTCAAATAAGAGCTTATAACTTTTGCAAAACAACATAATGATGTCATTAATATACTTCGTATAGATACAACTTATATTATAATTATGTTTATATGGAGGCACATAGGCTAGATTGTAATTGAACTCCAACCTCAAGTTGTGTAACAATACTATTAGCCGCTAGAGAATCTTCATTCCTATACATGAAACATCCATGATAGAAAGCCCACCCCGTAAGGAAGAGATTTGGATAAGGTCATAAAATTCCAATATAGGTACAGAACGTATAGCAATTATAGCATGCACCAGATTTCAATATGTATAAAACAAACAAGCCAAAGTAAAGAAAAAATTATGATGGCAGTACACTGATAATGGGTCTTCAGAGTAAAATTCACACAACAATTATAATACTGCATAATACTACCACCTAACAGAAGTAGAAAAGCAGAGAAAAATCAGAGAGCTGCCATAACAGCCCAATTAAACGAATTATGGATGAGACAGTGGAAGATACCTTTTCTCAGAAACATTGTTACTACGCTGACCATTGGGAAATGATGAAACTTGAGTTGAAGCCTTGCCATCTCTATCAGAATTCTGATTTACCCTGTTGTCTCTTACAACACGAAACTCCCGACTTACTCCAGCATCTAGAATAGAAATTATTATCAATAACATTAAATTACAACAAAGTAACTCTTGCCATAGATATACTCTCCAGTCCTAAAAACAATTGTTCTGTTTGAAAGTTTATATAAAATATGGAGTACAGTTAATAAGCGGAATGTAATCAATGGCGTGCCAACATAGTGGATACCTGGAAATTTGTTTAGGTGTTTAAGTATTTTACAATGAAAAAAATGGTGGATAAAAAATTTAAAAAAAAGGTAGTAATTATTGTGGGATGAATGGAGTATTAGGTTCATGTTCAGCTTTGTCAAACCAATCAGATGATTCTGCTGAGTAATTATTTTTAAATAATATTCCAATATTTGTTACCACTGTCAGAATCAATCCTAATAACATAAAATAAATCACAAAGCACAATCTATGTAACAATTAGGGCATGAAACAAATCAAACTCTAAACTTTTCACTTCTTGTTTATTGTAATTACTCATCAAATACCTACCACAATTGTTGGAAAGGTGGGTAAATATGTGGGCCACACATCTATCCCCCGGTACTTTCCCAGAATCACACTAAAACAATGTAATGGAAAAAAAAAAAAAAAGTCTGCATGCAATTTTAACACTACTTGGAGGATGACAATCACAATTTTAATAGAATTCAAAATTTTAACTCAAATCAGAATCACCTTTAACTGAAAAAATCAATCTGCTCGAATCAACATTCATATTTATCAAATAAAAGATGCATAATCTATTCAAGATTAATATTTTACTACAACACTGAGATCATTATTACTAGCATCCAAAAATACAAACAGAGTCCAAATGGTTTCTATTAGTATTAAACAGGACACAGACTGAAAAATAAACAATATAGAGAAGAACAATAGACTGGCTAGCCAAAATTTCAAATTTCCAATTACCATTTACAGGATTCCTTCTGTAGCCACCTCTGTGAACATTACGATTAGAACCATAAAATTTCAACCCTTGACCTGTATGTTCAGTCCGCTTCCTTGGCTCAACATGACCATTGTAACCTGCATTCTGGGAAATAATACCACATATTTAGTATCAGATTCTAAGTAATAAGTATTAATTTAAACCCAATAAACAGCACACAAAAAGACCTTGACAATCAATCCTAGACAATAACATAAATTTATATAATTGAAAATAAAAATGACCATACATGAGACCAAGGGTTACAAAAAGGCATTCTCAAAACATTAAGTCAAAACTACAATTGAAATTTAAGATTACCGTGTATTTGACACAAATTGAACGGACGGAAATGTATATATGCCTTTTATTCTATTGACCAGTATTTCCAGTTCAAAATGACAATCTATAGCACACATACACAAAGCCACATCCAGAGGACAGCACATAACAGTATATACTTGAATAAGTCACAAGCTCAACCTAAAATACTCAAAACAGCAGAAGCCCAAAGTCACAACCAGGTAAAAGGAGCATAGTCCTTACATGTTACATGCCCTGCTCAAAGACAAAATAACAGTTTGCATACAAGGAATTTACAAAGAAACCCAAGCAAAGAGTATACATATATCAAAAGAAAACAATTTAAGGGTAACAACTTGCAGCAGCAACAATTTGAACACAAATAATTTATTTGCTGAATCACAAAATAAATAATACACATTTATGATAGGAATCACAAAAATTACCTCTTTCTTCTTCTCTCGTCTCCTTATCACTTCATGAAAGGGATCTGCCAGGTGAAAATCAATAGATTAAGACTGTGTAAGAGTGTGAATTTGATCACTGTTAACATGTTAGATCAGCAATCGACAAACTATCTACTAACAAACTAAAGCTCACCAACAACAAAATTAGAAGGCTTATACAGTCCAGATAATCGTTTACCCCAATCAACCTACATTTTGAAGCAGAATCTTAAATGTTGCATAAACATGCATATCATTAAACCAAAATTCTCCTCAAAACTGCCACTAGTCTTGCAATAATGAGAAACGATACCAAAAAATTCAGAAACACTATAGTCTAAACCCTCACCAGACTCTCTACGATACTTGAATTATTCGAACTAATTCAGGGCATCTTGTGAAATCCATAGATTATATGTCACTAGTATTGCATTATCTCCACACACAGAGAGTCCCATTTTAAAACTAGAGTGTCACATAATAATGCCTTATATCAACTCAAAAATCACAATGCCTTATATCAACTCACAAATCTAGCCCTAAGAGTAAGAAAATAACGGCGTCACATTCGACAAAAGTTGTTTCATTCCTCGTAAATCTCAGTCTGCTCCCCTTTGAGTAGAGAAGGGGCATTATTTTTCTACCTTCTCGTTCCAAGCTTCGAAAAGCACAGGGTAAAAACAAAAAAAGAGAAACACAATAAGCACACACAGTTATACAGTACAACAATCATCAAAAACTTAAAAGATTTCATAAAATATAAGCTTAAAACTACAAAAACTTCATGATTACACCCACTAATTAAGCACCTTTTTAACATGCACTTCAAATTAGCTACTGAAGCAGTAAAACCCCAGTTCCCAAACCCTTAAATTTCAAAACAATCAAAAACCCCAGAAAAACCCAGAAATGGGCAGCAAAATTAACATCAAAAAACCCAAAAACATCAAAGAAAATATACCTTGGTTCAATAATTTTTGAGCAGTTTCATTAGGGTCCATATTACTTTCTTTGAGAGTGTTGTAAATTTCAGAATCAGAGTGATTACCCACAATTTCTTTGATCGATTGAATGGTTTTCTCCACATTAGCAGAAACAATTGCAGTCCCACCTTCAGTCTTCAACATAGTAACCATATTTTTTCTGATTAAAACAGAAGGACAAAAACAAAAAAAAAAAAAACACGCAGAAAAAAAGAAAAATCCCCAAATATAAAAAATTAAGCCCTAAATTTACGTACAACGAAGATGAAGAGTCAAAAACCCTGAGAAAAGAAAGAGATAAAAGAGGGTTTTAGGGTTTGCATTAGATGAAAGAGAAGGCGGAAGGAGAAGAAGGGGAATGAAGAGAGAGAGAAAAAGAGGGAGAGGGAAGTTTTTTTTGGGGGAGAGTAGGAGGAGAGAGAAACTGTTTTTTTAAGGGTTTTGAAATTATTTTTGGCTTCATTTTAGGATGTCATTTTTTTTCAAAAACTTTTTTTATTTTTTATTTTTTCAAAAAAAATTTATTAATTTGGAATTTTTTTTTTTTTTTCAAGTTTTTACTTTGGGTTGCTGGGTTGGATTTGGAAGTGTTTGGGCTTTAAAATAAGGTTTGGGTTTTTTTTTTTTTTTTTATTTATTGATTTTTATTTTTATATTTATTTTTTGCTATTTTGAGTCAACTGGAGTACTGGAGTACTAAACTACTAATTCATAATTTTGTGGGTGGAACTTGGAAGCTTGCTACTATGTTTAGCTCTTTTTTCTTATGGTCATTTCCCACATTAAAAGTATGATTTGAGAGGCTTTTAAAGTTATAATGAATGGATTGGTTAATGATATATTGGTGATGCTTTTGGTCAATAATTTTATTAAAGTTGTGAATAGGGTAATAGTGAGTAGATGTTATAGATATAAAAGGGATTCTTTTTTAGCAATAATTCTAATGCGGAGTAGATAATATGAATCTGACCTTTATACATAGTATATATTTTGATTTTTGACCTTGTAACATTACAAGATACACGGTAAAACAAAAGGGTATATCAATATGGGGTTAAACAAACTAGTTCATTATTGGTTGATCAAATAACCTAAGCTTGAAGTGAATATGTTGTTTTGGTCAAATGGAAGCAAAATAGTACTTCGTACATAAATAAATTACTATGAAGATGAAACTTGCCCTTGAGTAAGTAATTCGGAGCAAATGGTTTAGTGAAAGCAATGCTAATTGGTATGAGTTGATCTTGGAATGGTTTAAATTGGAGTACTCAATAAGTCAATATGAATTGAGATTCTATTATTCTTGACTATCTTAATAAGTAAACTAGACTTTAAAAGAGTAATTATTTTAAGGACTTTATTTTGCATGTTGACAAGTTAGAAAGCCTTTAAACGGCAACAAGAATGATGAGGAGCTCTACCTTCTTAAAGAACTCATGGTATTTCGTGAAATATTATGCTATAGTAACAATACTCCATAGAAAAGTTGGTTAACATGTTACACCAATTACAACCAATAAAGGTTGTTACCAAATATAAAAACCGTGAGGGTTGAGATCTGGTTAGACCAGGGTCCTCCTTACCAATAAAAAAAAAAAAAAAATGTTATACCAAATATAAGCCTAACTATTGAGTTACACAATACAACTCTCTACTAGTCAACGTAAAATCCAAAGAAAATTATCAAAGTATTGCTCGTCATTCATTAAGTTTGCTCCAAAAACATTTGCCAAATTGTGTTTGTTGACAAGTTGTGCTTTTACAGAAAGGAGACAGACATTCCTATCAATCAGAGATGTTCATATGTCCCTTACATTTCGTGTAATGGGGGGCGTTCAAAATTTCTAGAGTCAATTTCAACGAAGACTTGAACATGGACGACTTATACACATTATGATGAATGTCAATCACTAGATTAGATTTTGATAAACGTAAACTATACTCAGATAAAATATAAAATAAAATAAAATAAAATAATTCATACTTATCATTGTCAATAATCTCTTAATAGCATTATTTAATCCATATAATAGGATGATCAATTGTTATTTTGATCCTAAGTACTTATAATCATTTATTTATATCACACACTTATAATCATGTATCCTAAGATGAATATTAAAGCTTGTTGAAAGTTTTGAAACAAGCTAGTTTGGAACAAATTTTTAAGCCGAAACAAGGAGAATAATTACAGGATGATGGCTAAGGAACGACGTACACTAAGTATTGGAAGACTATTCAGACAATTTCTCTTAGTACAAGTAGTAGTAGTTTCTGTGAATCTACTTCAGGTTTTTACAAGTCACTTCATACCAAAGTATTTTTTTTGTAAGTATCACCGAGCTCAGCTCATGAACATCTTCCTACCTAATGCTCCAACCAAACTTTAACTACATGGAAAATTCTATATTTAGAAATCTATATATAAACTGAAGGTAAAACTGAAACTTTTTGTTGTATGTGTGTTCAATATTCGTCATCATGGTCATTCTGCTTTGTTAACTAAACCCTTGTACAGCTACTGGAAGATACGGAAAAATAAGTCTCTAACAGGGACTCAGCAAGTTAGGTGTCAGCCGAGATCACAAGTACTGTTCCTGGATCCTGGCCTTGTTCTCTTCCCACCACACTCTGGCATGCATTTCACCAAATCTCTCGCGACTGCATCAGGAATCAAAATGCATCAAATCAGTGCATCATACAAACAATGGTGTTATGGTGTAAGACCCTAAATAAATCCAATGCCAATAGTCATGGAAATTAAGATTAATGGTCAAGATGCTAAGGCAAGGAAGAGGGTTATATAAGTTCTCCTTCCCTTTTCTCGTGAATGACATCAGTAAACCTCTTAATTAAAAACTTGATCCTTTTTTCCAGGCTCTTTGCCATTATATAATTTTTGAACTTTAAGAGACCAGGATCCATGAGAATGTTGGTAGGTAGTTTCGTACTTGGTAATGATAAATCAAATTAGCTTTTGTCTTTATGGTAGTTCAGAATTTTGAATGAGATTCATGGTCCTTGGAATATAATGAAACTTGAGAAAATTAATACCACTTCACTAATTAAGCTCACCTGAATCTAACACGTCGAAGCTCCCGAGAGCCATTAGGCAATGCTCTGATAGTGATGTAGACCCCAGGTTCATCCTGCTCAACCCATTCAGTCTCAACATCGCTGGCATTGCTGACAGAAAGTTCACCCGAGTGGTCTACCTCTCTTGATAAGCTACTCCTAGCAGAAGCATCAACTGATGATGTCTCTGTTTTTGAAGCACTAATGTTAGATAGTTTAGGAGTTGAAGCAAGTCCATATGACTCATAGTATTGGCGAGCTCCATGCTGATCAAGTGAATCTGTAGAGGAATATGCCAGTCCTGTTGGACGGTGGAAGTTCCGAGGCAAACGTTCTTTGCTCAAAGGTGGTGTTGCCGGACTGCCCTGTGCAGATTCAATCTTGGAGCTCTGCAATAATGTCAAAAGATCAAAGACATCAAAATGATGATCATCATTACGTAGCCCAGACAGGATCTTAGCTATGTCATAAAAGACAGCATGAAACCAGTTACATACAGTGAGCCAAATACAAACATGCCTTTTCTACTGTGTCTCAATCCTTTCTCCTAACAATAAAAGTTAACTGTGGCAAAGGTACAAGTAACAAGATCTCACCTCATCTTCAGACCTGGAGGGGGTTGCTGAGGGTACAGCTTGTTGATTGAATTTTTGAACATTATATAGTTCCATCACCTTGTCATAGTTCTCCGCCCACCATCTTTGAGCTTGCCACTTGTTAAAAAGCTCACGGCTGAAAAGGCATTATAAAAAATGGCATGAAGAAACAAAGACAGTGATTTTAACAAACATAAGACAACAGCATTCTTAGTAAGTGTGTCAAGAAGCAAAAGAAAAAATAGCTTATATCTGAGTTTTCATTTGTTGAAAAGCTCAAGGCAAAAAGACAACTAAGCAGAGTGGCGAGAATAGAAACATCAGATTAAGTACTGTAATCAGGGAGTGTTACGTGGCAACTAATCAAAAGGTCATTGAGTAGTATTTCTCCTCTAACACAACAGGCTCAACCACTGACATTCATAGGGAGCACTCATGAAGTCAAGTGGACAACCACATCTGCAAGCAATTCATCATAAACACCTTCCTTTGCTGGTTGAACAACCAGTACAGATTTCATCTTAGAAGAAAATACGACATCTTGTCTATGTTCCAACTCTTCTAAGGGTCCATTGAGCCAAATGAACATGGATATACCATATTCTCAGACATCTGTGTGCACTTTAGTAAATTCATGTGATTGATAAGATATTATTTGGCTTCTTAACTATTATTTGCCTTCATACTCAGCTGAACAAAGAGAACCAGTTCAAAACTTATGTATAGTGGAAAATTAGAAAAACACAACTTTGCCATCAATAAAAATAGATAATGGAATTCCTTCAAAAGACAAAGTCGACCATTTTTTTTTAAATTCTTAGTTCCATACAATACTGTTTTGCTTATGATCACAAGTGTTGTATATTCTGCCACAAATCTATAAGGCAAAACAAAATGAGGTTAAAGTTGTCGCTTCCAGGGAAATTATCATCACGATTCATGAAAGACATACAACAACAAACTAATCAGCCAAAAAAAAAAAAAAAAAAAAATGTTTATTTACAACTTCACGTATGTTGCTACTTGGATGTGTAGGCAACACTAGTTCCTCACAATCAAGTTACATATCTAGTGGCTAACGGGATTCCACAAAAAAAAATTAAAAAAAAAAAAGAAAAAGAAAAAGAAAATGCAAGTTTTAAATCTAAACCAACGGGAATTGTTCACCTGCACATTTTGATTCTCTAAAGAATGTTTCAGAAAAATTGTTAGTACATATGAGGTACTATACAAAAGCAATATACTATAACAATCTAATCTTTTCCAGTAGGGGAAAAAAAAAAAAAAAAACTCAATCATCTCATTGACTTAGTGAAACTTCTAGTTGGCATGGATGATTAAGCAAAGCATATTGTAACATATAAGCCTCTATAGCACTAGCTGTAGGTCATTACACTCTTTTATATGCTTTGAGCATTAGCAATTCATTTCACAAGCACATTTTTGCTGGAGACACGCAATGTTTAATCCCTCCAATCAACAATAATAACATTACATCTAGGAAAAAGTCAAATATCTGCAGAAAAGCTATCAAATTACCATAGTACAAGCACAGTAATTTTCTGCCAATGACTAGGAGCTTATTTTCCATGACCAAAAAAAAGAAAAAAGATGTGCATAAGAGTGATGAGGGAAACTAAGAAAAAAAAAAAGTTTAGAGTGAAAAGTGCATGGTCCATAATTAATAAAATGCAATCATTCTAGGTAGCACTTTAACAACATGTTAAAATCCACT